GACCCAGGGGGGCCAGCAACGGACCCAGGGGGGCCAGCAACGGACCCAGGGGGGCCAGCAACAGACCCAGGGGGGCCAGCAACGGACCCAGGGGGGCCAGCAACGGACCCAGGGGGGCCAGCAACGGACCCAGGGGGGCCAGCAACGGACCCAGGGGGGCCAGCAACGGACCGTAGACATTCGGAGATTCAGATGTTTCCGAATTACAGAGATAACGAATGCAAAGGAATCCGATTGGTAGTTTCACCACAGCTTGGAGGGCCGGAGTGTGGCTACCCCTGACTAAGGCTGCCCACACAACCAATAGAGTACAATGGATTGTATGTGCCTGTGTGTGTGTCCGGCCGGCTAGAGATGGGCGAGTCTCCCTCCAGTGGTGGCCAGCGGTAGTGCAGGAGACTGGGAGTGGAGGGAACTGTGCCGGGTTTAGCTGGCCTGTACCTGCTGGTGAGAGCCGTGTGTGCCGGTCTGCTTGAGGGCGGAGTGTACGGACTAAGAGCGTTCGGGAAAAGGTTCACCATGGCTGTCATTGCTCTGCTCCTGAAGGCTGTGTGCCGGTCTGCTTGAAGGCGGAGTGTACGGGCTAAAAGCGTTCGGGAAAAGGTTCACCATGGCTGTAATTGCTCTGCTCCTGAAGGCTGTGTGCAGGTCTGCTTGAGGGCGGAGTATACGGGCTAAGAGCGTTCGGGAAAAGGATCCCCATGGATGTCATTGCTCTGCTTGAGGGCGGAGTGTACGGGTCAGGAGCGTTCGGGAAAAGGTTCCCCATAGCTGTCATTGCTCAGCTCTGGAAGCCCAGCACTAAGCTGGGCTTCCGGAGCAAATAGCTTATTTCTAGTGTAAAGGTGACACTAGAAATAGCAGGTGACAAAAAAAAATTAACATCACCTTAAAGAGGACCTGTCACCACCATCTGCTATCACATGGGGGGCTTGTAAGCCCCCTTATGTGATAGCAATTAAAGTAAAAACAAAAAAACAGTTTTAAAAATAATATTAAATAAAATAAATGTAAAAATGTTTACATTTTTTTTTTAAGTCTCCGCCCCCCGTGAGCACGCGCGTCTTCACGTAAACACGCGTCGGGTGCGCCTACGTATGAAAACGACGATCGCGCTACACATGGTGGGTATCACCGCGCACGCCGGAGTGAGAGCAATAATTCCCGGGCCAGTATTTTTGGGTGTCTCTAAACTGATGACCTGTGGGGGGGCTTTTAAAGCGTCTTCTATGGACTTTTTGGGGGTACCGAATTCTGTCGCCGTTTCGCGGACGCGCGCAATTTTTAACCCGGGCATGTCGGGTATCTACTCACTCGTTGTCACCTCGTCTTTTATATTTTGTTGTGTTTTGGGGCATGTAAGCGCATTTTTCAATCAAATTTTGGGTTTGATAATAAGTTCTCGCTAATGTCCTGCAACATAGAAATTTGCAATTGCCGCCATTTTATTCTACGGGGTCT